GTCTTGGTTGAGATCACCGGCGGCGGCCAAAGAGAATCCAAATCTACCCCATTGGTCTTCTCCCAAAATTACTGAGGTACGGTCGAATACTCCCTGAAAGCTGGTTTTCACACTAACATACAACTCAGGTCATTCTGTGTTAAAATCTCGACCAAAAATGGAAATATGAAAATCTGGTGCACAATAGGCACTAGTTCATACGGAAAAAAAGGTAAAAATTGCACAAAATGGAGATCTGTTCCAGCAAGGGGGAATTTGGTGCAACAGTTCCTGTGGATTACGGTAATCCGGTAATCCCAATTGCAAGAGGAGTAGAAGGAGCTCTCAGCTCAGAAGACCGATTCCGTGGTGCGAAAAAAGCTATAGCTAGGGGGGTGAGTAGTACTTCCTGCAAACTTTGCAATAAAAGAAGGTATTTGTTATGGTTTTGGAAGTCTTGGGTTATCCGCGTCAAATCCCCCTCCCCCTTACTGGGAATGGTTCCGAAAACCGATTAGATAACAGCTCCAATTGTCTGTAAGCGCTCACATAACGGGTAAATAAACCACAATCCATGCAGATAACCAACCAGTGGAATGGCTTGGCGCAAGGTTGTTTATGGTTCGCGTGCTTGAGCATAGGTAGAAAATCGATAGATGCATGGTACAGCCAGTTCTTTTTCATGTACTGGTGGAACGATGAGCTCCAAGAATTGACCTAACACCCCCAACAGTTGGGTGGGAGCTTGCTTTCGTGCTTTGCTCGCATGATCTGGCGCTGACTGAGCCTTGCTGTGTAAAGTAATTGAAAGTAGGTAAAAATAGGGGAGCGATGAATGCTTATTGTTATGACCTTCTGAACTCGTTCTGAACATCATTTGGACAAAGGAAAAACGAGGTCCTCTGGGTCCAGCTTCTATGCCTTAGCTTTCCATGAATTCTTTTGAAACACATCTCAGAGCTCACCGGAGCAGTTTGGAAAAAGATGACGACTTTGCCGACATCGTACTGTGGCTTTCTCTCTTGCGTCTTCGCGTCTTTCACGGTGACGTAATCGGTGTAGAATGGGCATCCCATGATGATATCGTCACGTCTAAATTTGAGGAGGTTGAAGGATGCTGCTGGTTCTTACAGAACTTACATATCTTTGCAGCTTAGCGTCTCTCCATCGGCCGTAGTATGAAGGTATGGATACCAGGACTTACCCCGTCTTTGTTCAGATCGGTAACGGCCAGACTGCTGCCACAATACTGCCCTTGCTGTGAGGAGGACGGGTCGGTCAAATTCACCAGCATCTTCAGCTTTGAGGTGTACAACACCACAGGCGGGTGCAATGTAGAGACAACATAGGCTACGAACTTCGAACAAGCACGGGAGACATACGCTTTGCCAGCCAGTTCGTTAATCGAGGGTCACGGCGACAACGTCGTCGACTCCGTCGCCGTCAAGAGATCCGCTAGCGGTTGCGTAGCCTGAATAGCCTCATTGGAACCATAAACCGCCCAGGAAGCGCTTCACTTACCCAACATGTCGTGATCGTATTCTTTCCCACCATACTCGGTGTTTGGCGGAGCTCGGTTAAGGTTTTTTTATGATGTGGCTGGACTGAGAGATCGCTCCTTGCCGTACCATACACCGGGCGCTCCGATAAAACCCTGAAGGAGAGACCTCACTGTCGATGAGGTGATTTTTAGAAAGCCGATAAACCCACTCTCTCGTCCGCCTTCGTGTACTTATCTGGAAGCGCCGCCGAGAATCCACACTGACCGTATCCAAACCGATGGCGACCATGGCGAGCAGCTGAACTGTCAGTTTGTGAATTTGTAAGCGTCTCACAATCCTCGAAAACTTACGCTCTTGTCGGCAGGGTGAGAATTCCTGAGTATCGGTAAACCCATTCTCAGGCAAAGAAGCATGAACCGACGCGGTTCGATCACTTCGAACTTGGAGAAGAAGTACTTGTACTTAGGGGCGGCGCACATCTCGCAATCACGATACTATCGGGTTAATGGATGACCGAAGGATATTTTAGGACAGAAGAAACTGGACTTACCAGGAGTTTATCGTGCTTATTGTTCGATACGACGGTGGCCCCAAAGAATTGGTAGGCTTTGTCCTCAATCGGAGCAAGAGTAGAGCCATTCAGGCGATGCTCATTACCCCCTGAACAAAATGAGGGAATTTTTTGAAACTCTTGGGCGTCTGATTGACAGTACTAGTTTGATCGTTGGGTTTTCGCTTGGCTTAAGTTGTGCGTCTTCCATTGGGCTCAAACACATGTTAATAAACGTTTAAATAAATAAATGAATAAAGTAAATAAATAAACAAATAAATAAATTTCTCCTACCACGCAGCCAATTAAGGCCAGATGCCGCTTTAAGGAGCTCACGTGGTTTTTACTGACCGGTATCCAATGGGTTTGACAAAATGTAGCTGAATGGCGCAGCACCTATGCATATACCGATATTATATAGTTTATTGTTGTTCGTCGTGCTTGTTGTTGGGTTTGACAGTTGCCCAAAGTGTTGGTGGGCTGTCGTTGGTGAGAACTCCGGCCTGATTTGTGTGGAACTTTAAAGGCAAACTCCGGGATTAAACTGGTGCTATTAGCGCTTCGTGGTGATAGCTTAGCTGCGGAACGACCTGAAAGTGGAAGGAAAGCAAGAGAAATCTTTGGAACGCTGAAATTAAGGCCTTAACCTTCAGTAAGGTCGGATGTGGTACGATGGCGAGACAGGGCGATCAAAGAAGACAAAATACGCGAGAGAGCACGTCGTTTGAGAGAGCACGCTGATCTCACCACATCTCGCGGTGGGTGGGAAGCGTTGCAACGGGTCGATGGTTGCAGGCCCGTAAGGATTAGCGCCCTAACCGCGCAATTTTTGCGACGAAGCTGGAGTGATCTAGGTAGGTACGGACCTTACAATTTCCCTCGCGGTATCCTTCCTACTAGTCGGGCTAATCCCGGGGTTTGCCTTTAAGGCAGGAGGAGGGGAGGATGGACGGTTTCAATTATGATTAATTCCACTATTCGTCCAGAATTCGCACTCGCACTTCGCTCTTTCTCGGGGATAATAGCTCTCGGAAAAAACCTTTTAAACTTCCCGCAGGAGGCTCGGAAAGGACGTGTTCGTGCTTGCTGATTACCTGATTTGCAGATGTTCCAACACCCATCCGAATGAGTGCTCAAACATGAGCTATTTTAAATTACTTCCGCTTACGCGGAAGTCCTAAATGAAATGCGAAAGCTGGTGACTCTTTTCGAAGCAGCTGTTGGTGCGGAGTTCATTTCATAGTCATGAAATATCTTTTATGAACTTCATCAGGTGATCATGCAAGCGCAAGCAAAGCGAGTTTGGTTGGAAGGTTCTTAACAGTTTCCTGGAGGGCACCTCTTAGAGGGTAGGAATGCGATGAAGGGAGTCATTGGAGTAGCGAAGAAGGTTCTAAGTTTACAGCCATAGAGTGGGCGAAAAATGCCCCATAAGTGGCTTAAGTCTTATCGTTTCCCCTACCAAGTATAGAGGAGTGTTACCATTTGATTTTAACTACTAAAACCCTCACTCAGGAGAAGTTTCTCAAGGAATTGAGGCCTAAGACCCTATCAAATGTCTTGACGAATTCTGTGGGACAAGGTCTGAAGCACTATTGCAGCGCCGAAGCTCATTATGAGGACCTTTTGCTGCCGAACCGGATAAAAGTCATGCGTGCCCTTGGGGTACTTACGAGGTTCCGGGAGTCATTTCTTTGCCGGCCGATATCGCATTCGATTCTGTGGACACCCGGCATAATGACGATTTTACAACCACATCGGGAGCGATAAAGTGTGGTTGATGGTGGGCTGGTCGCAGCACTTCATCCGCATCGTTCAGGCGTATATTCGTGGTTGGAACGACTTGCACCACGATTAGTGGACGCCTAATGGGCAGCATACACAGTTTATTAGACGGATCGGTCTATAACGAACTTCTCAGGGGGAGGCAGCTAAAGAGTGGTTTTTGATGAAGCTAGAGCAGGTTGAGAGAGCTGACATGCCATGAAAGACTTCATGAAGTGAATTCCGAGGCGTGTGGTAAAGGTTAAAAGCATATGTGACTACTGTGACTAATATTATCATAGAGCAGCGCATTCATGTGATATATAGGGGGGTAGTACTTAGAACGACGTCGAAAAAAAAACGGTTTTCTATAACCAATATCCCCCTCCTCCCACTCCCATCCCCGCCCTTTCTCCCCCTCTCGTGACTCTACGTTCACTTGGTAAAATGGTAGGCCAGGGTGAGCTTTGAGTAAATGCCCATACTCACTGAATATAAAAAGGATAAAGGATAAAGCATTTGCCGTTGATCAATCCCTTTTGGGATGCGGCACGCATTCTACTTCCATTTGTACATTCGTAGTGGCGTTTGAATGCGATGTGGCCTATACAATGACTTGCGGGGGCCAGCCGATGTACAAGTCAGTGTTTTTATCCTCCAGACAAGTCTGGTACCAATTAACCGACCCCGGAGGGATGGAAGGCTTGGTTGGCCCGGGCGACTCACGACCCAGGATTTGATCCCCGGACCGCTCGCGTGCGTGGCCACTTGCCACTACACCACTTCCGCCCAACTGGCAACTATACGATATCTAAAGTCGCTTAAAGTCCACTGAAATAAGCTTTAAAATCTCGTCAGTACTGACCCCTCCTATAGGGATCAGACGTTCGCCGATTTCGCTCGCACCCAGGTGAGCAACTCGAGCAAGCCGCTATGCCAGATGTGAATCTGGTTGGGGGGTTTCAGTTTTCTAACTTACTCAACCCTAAACTAAACTTAACCACTGGTCAGAATCAGAGAAGTTCCAAGATGTGGGTCTCGTAGAGTGAGACAGAGAGGTCCCCAAGTCTCCAATCACTCTCCTCATCGCATTTATTGTCCAATATTCCAACCAGATAAAACATTTTGATCACGACCTGCGTTTTAAGTACCCGCAGTATGGAAAAATTATACGTTGCGTACATGTCAGAAAATGACCGTTCAAATCTTCATATTATTTTTATTTCCTTTTTTATTAATTTTTATAAATCTTTATATTAATTTCTTAATTTATTTTATTAATATTAATTAACATAATAATATTATAATATTTATTTTTTATTAATTTTTATAAATCTTTTCATTAATTTTTTTGAATCTCTGTAGAGCAAAGAAGTAGTTATTGTGTTAGTGAATTGATTATATGTTTGATTATATGTAATTTGTGATTGCAGCTTTCACGTCTGCCCGCGAGCAGCGTCTAAAATAAATAAATAAAATAAATAAAAAAATTAATAAAATTTTGGCTAGGTGTTGGATTGGAAGGGTGGTAACTAGTGGTCCTACGGAAGTTTCCAAACCGTTTAAAGCCCCAAAAACAAGCTTCTTCCCATCGCACTTATGAGAAGACCCGCTTCGGGAAACAAAGCTCCTACTATGTCGTCTCGCGTCTTTTCCGAATGACCATATGGTCGCGTTTCGAGCCATAACAAATGAGTTTCGCAACCCATTGGCTTCCGGCCTCCATTGATCAGTAAACCCCGCGCGAGCACAGCAATACCAGCAGTGGTGCAATGTGCTGAGCTGCCAGAAGAAGTGTCAGGGGAGGTTCCACTTCCGAAAAGGGCTCATCAAAAAGTCATGGAAAGTCGGACTCCTATGGTTAGCCCTTCATGAATATTGCAAGAACGTACTCTTCTTGTCGACGTGCACCTCGCGGCAAGTGGGTTTGTTCACGGAACACACGTACACGGCTCCCGGTCTGCGAATACCTCGCAGATTGGGATTTGTCGTCTCGGATTCGGGAGCGCCGACGACCAACCTGAAACGGTAGAAGTTTTTGAAACCAGCGGTCTAATTGAATTATCGATCAGTTCAAGCTTTTGCGATCGATACAACATGGGAAGCGGAGTTCTCCTATGGCGAGCGGCGGACGCGAGAGGCTGCTTGGATGTGTAATCTCTCCAGGTTTTTGTAATGCTCTCGTCTCTTTCAGTGTCCGTGTTTTATACACGAAGCGCTGCAAAATGCAGGGCAACGCTTAAGTGCACATTAAATGCCGGAAGGAAAAGCGCGGTGTGTTCGCTTGAAAATCGGGGAAAATGGAACACGACCGTCTCCTCCTCGAACTGCACTTACACTGGCATTCCTTTCTCCTCGTTGTAGAAATCGAGCGAGTAGCCAAAATAGCCGCCGGCTGGGGCCGAATGGACCACGGCATTCTTTGTGTCGATGTTGAACGCCGAGACGACGACCAGCAGGCTGGATAACACCAGCCAAGTCGTCATTACCTAAGTACCTTAGATACAGTACGGAATAAAATAAATAATAAAATAATGCAAAGTTCAGAAAGCAACTTGAAAAGAGGTATCACACAGAAGAAAAGAAATGAAAGAAATCCAAGAAATGTTCTGCTATAGAGAAATAACTATGAGATGGAGTCTCCTTCCCTCTTTTGCCCAGCCCTCTCCCTTGTTTATTACGTCCAAAATACTGAAGAGCCTATTGCTTATGCCTCACTTGAGCCCCCTCTTGGCCCTTGAGTGTGCGAAAAATACTGCCCCAGAGTCGATAAATGGCAGTAAACTGGTTGGCTATTGGAAATATGGATGTGAAATCTCTTGTGTTTCCGCGTGTTTCATAGGGCATATGCATCCAAATATGCCTACGTTGCAAATTCAGAAGTAGAGTACGTGGCGTATTCCGAAGAGATCCACCAGTAGCAAGCAACTTTACCCTTCATTTATAATATGATGGTTCCTCACGATTGGAGCCCATCCCCCTATATTCTCTTAAAGAAAATGTTTACAGAAAGAACTACTAGTGGTGCGTTTTTCTAGGAAATCTTTGACCTTAAAACGTTCAAGGACAATGGCGAAGAATGAGAAAAAATTGACGGATGCCTATTGACTGATTATCGAGAAGAAAATGAAAAAAAAGAAAAAAAACACGAAGTACTGAAGGAAGTGATAGGAACGTCGATTTATCTCGAAGTGAAGCATAATAGCAATTTTCGAGAAAAGCTCCAGAGGGTAGAGACCGTTGCCATTAACGAGGCGTGGGAGGGAGGAGATTCTGAGTGGCAATTGTCCGGCAGCCGAAAACCGATGCATGTGTTCATAATGCATAGATTAGACGAGTAATTAACCATGCAAACGTTGATGAATCGGTCAAAACGAGCGCGCATGCGCGACAACTACCACACCCGCAGTTACCGCGGAACAATGTGAGAGTGCGATAATTAGGGGAGAGACTAAATGAATGGAATTGATAAGTACGGCAGCCCTCAAAGTTTGGAAGGTTCTCACACATGCGAGTGTTTTCGTAACCTTAGCGCGTCCTCCGCCAGATCCTCAAGCCTCCCGCCTCTGTCTCACGTCGACCCTCCGGGCATAGCCCAGTCACTAGTCGGACGTCTGACCACGTCGCTGACCACAACTCCGCCCCCAGAAATGCAGAGCTCTACAAGCGCGCACAGCTGGGTGTAAAATAACGTTGACGATTAAAAACAATACGAGAGAAGCACATGATTCGTGCAAAATTCCCACAGCACGCTGTGGCGCTCGAAAGCGGCGAACTGAAACGCGCTCGAAAGGCGAGAAATTCATAAAAGATTCGGGTCTTTATTTCTGGCCAGGACAGCCACGACTCTCATCTCTGAGCTCTTCTGAGCTCAAATTAACTGAATGCTGGGTGCTATCGCAATATCCGAAGGCATCCTTCAGGACTAAGCCTAGGAGGGAGCAG